TGTGAACCAAGATAGCCATCCTGATAGTTTTGTATAACGGTTTAGGGTTTAGGGTTTAGGACCCTAAACCCTAAACCCTATAATAGCCCTTGGGGCAAGCCTGCTAGATAACCCTTGTACAAGCTTTGCAGAAGACCCAGAAGCCCAATGTCGCTTAGCCAAGGGGTCCTCTACTTTGGACTACTTAGAGGATCTACAAACCATTTTTTGTAATCTACGTATATCAAGAATTCAGGTACTAACCCACACGAACCGTGAACCACTGAGTACCAAGGACCCTGTTCTAGTTGAACGGCTTTTGCGAAATAAAGTCTAGACTCCCTAAACCCTAATCCCCAAATCCTAATTAAACTAAACCCTAACCACCCTAATATAGGGGCCTTAATACTACAATAAATTTTTTGGGCCCTTTATACTATAATGAGAAAAAGGAACCCCCAAAATAGTATAGGTAATTATTTAGGCCCCTATATTAAACCTTCAACTCAAGAGGAACCTTCAGGATCGACGCTCGACTCTCAGACCTGCTATCAATGGAACATCTCGGCAAGCCCAAGAACCCCAAAAAACTTAAGAACCCAAAACCGAAACAACCCCAAGCCGAACCATTTTGGGGTTAGCGTTTAATTTAGGGTTATCTACAGCATTTTTCCAAAAGAAGATAAAAGGAAGAACACTCACAACGCCTTTCTGGATCCCTAAACCTAAACCCTCAACCCGGAACCCCCAAGTCCCCAAGCCCCGGTTTAGGGTTTAGGGTTTGGGGGTTTAGGGGGTTAAACTTTTAGGGTTTAGGAACCCTAGACCCTATCTCCATGGCCGCCGCCTCGCTGCAGCGCTGCGACGAGACAGCGATCTTCTCCACACTGCAACAGACCCCCCCCCCCCTTTTGGACCTTCAGAGCTAGAATAGGATTCAGGGCGTTGGGGTAGCTGTAAGGGGCCTTTGTGGAGAAGCCGTCAACAAAGAGAGCGGTAGAGCCTGAACCGACAGATTGAATTCAGGGTTTAGGGTTTAGAGACCATTTATACGATAGGGCTTTGCTTCACTGGAACCGTTTTGGGTACCCTAACGCTTCAACCCTAAACCCATGGAGTCAGTGAGCCTCTGTTGACTTGTCGGCCGGAAACACTTCGCATGCTTGCATTCTGCGTGCTGAACCCTGGCTCCTTACTGTGTAATGTTTTGACTATGGTCATTGACTCGTCTTGGTGGCTTGGACAAGAAGGCAGAAGGTGCAAGATTTCAGGGATAGCCGCCACCCACCACTGCGTGATGAAGGGCTTGGAGCGTTCTCTGATCTGAGGAACATGGTATCTACGGCTTCTCGGCTTGGGGGCATGGCAAAAAGAGTGGCATCGCCGAAAACCAATGCAATCGTCTGAATATAGGCCCTAGGCCCAGTATTCACACCCTTCATGCTGCAACCGTACACATCCGTAAACCTCAGATTGAAACAGTGCATGTATCACGACTCTTGCGCGCACTGACGACTCAGTGGCCGACCGAAATACTGATGTCGATGGCTCGCTTCCTGAAAGAGATCGGGAATGGCGGGCGAACATTAGGCTTCCAGAGACAAGTGGCCAAAACCCAAAATGTCAAACCCCCGAAGCTCAAGCCGTGTTCTGTGTCTAAAGAGCAACAGCAGCAAGCTCCCTTGCCATCTTGTGCATTGTCATGTCCAACTTACGAAGTCTCATGATCCTGCAGGTAAACCTTCCGATAGACTTCTTGAGCACCAGTGTGGAGGCCAGTCCCTTAAACTTGTTGTGCTTAAACTACAGTACACCCAAAACCATGTTCGAAATACTTCGAAATGCTTAAGCGCCATCATTACGCCCGGAAGAAATCGAATGCTCAACCGTGGTCCGAAAACAAAATCCTGAACCCCCTAATCGGATTGTGCAGTATTTGGTTAAAGCTTTTAGGGTTGTTATCCCTATAACACTATACCCTAAACCCTCAACCCTAAACCGCTAATACAGAAATGCCGGACACCCTGGGGAGCCCGGGGTCGCCGCAGGCCGCAACGACGGTCGGCAGATTTCTCCCAGCGTCGCGCCTCCGATAGAGGATAACAGCAAGGGTAGGGCGTACCTGTAGCCGAAAAGACCCACCCTTTTGAGGGCTCCTGTTATGGTTTCTATATATGGTTCCTTAAAGTGTAGGTCGTTTGGGCCATTGGGTATTGCGTTCTGTGCTAACTGGCCTTCATATAAGATCCCTATGAACGTTCTTATTCAGATTAGTTAATCAGGGATTCTGCACTAGGGCCATTAGGAGGGTTTAGAGCTTTCGCCAACCTTGAAGATTTCGTTTGCTAGTGAACGGTTTCTGGTTAGAGTTTATAAAACCCTAAACCCCAAACCCTAAACCCTAAACCCCAGGGTCTAGGGCTTCCGAGCCTGAGCGCTCCGGGGTTGCGGGGCCGAGGGCTTTTATAGCTTTGGGCTTGGGCTGGGGATCAACATGGCTTAGAGACCTCTGTATCTCGAGGGTTCTCCTGCGTAGGGCTGCAAAGTACTGCTGTTTAGGGTTCCACTTAAGGGTTCATAGGAATCAGTAGAAGGGATGTAAATAGGGTAACTGTACTTGCAATCAGTTGTGAGCCCAGTAAAGGTACTTATAACTGTACTTTACTAAGTCCCGCGAACCTCCAAGCACGGTTCAGGGCTTTAGGGCTTCGGGCATCTAGGTTGGGGCTGCAGAGGCGTTAGGGCTGAGGTCAACAGGTAATCCAGGTAATCGATAAAGGGTCATAACTGCCAGGTATAATTCCTCAGGGCTCCTTACTATAATTATACAATAAAGGCGCCAAAAACACTATTCTGATCATTAAGGCGCCTATATTGCTGCTCTAGGCAGGCTTTGGAGGGTCAGATCTCTGGCCTTTTAAGACTTTGAAGATTTGGGCTGCAAGCTTTCGGGCTAGGGTGTTGTGCAGGGTTCTGTCCTGGGATTTCTATACGAGCCAAGGCGTGTGCATGCTATGCATGTTCGCTTGAAAGACCCAGGATCACGGATATCATGGTGACGTGAGGAAGCCAACACCAAACAGCAGAAATTCAACAAACACTTGCCGCATGGAGGCAAGCAGAGGGAGAGAGTGGGAGGACTCCAGGCACCAGCCTTCTAAGTGGCGAAGAGTCCATCTTGGAATCGAACATTTCAAGAAATCTTACATTTTGAGATCCCACTTGAACGTCTGAAAGCCCAAAGAGTCCATCTTGCAATGGAGCAGTTCAAGAAATCTTACATTTTTGGATCCCACTTGAAACTCTGAAAGCCTAAACCCCCGGACCCAAAATTTCGAACCACACAGGACCAGACGCGACCAGGTGCCTCTGCAACGTCTGGAAAAGCATTGCTAGCGGACCTTGCCAGTAATGCAAGGGCCTCAATAATTAGAAGAGGGTCTTGCGCGTCTTTCTAGTATAATTAGAATAAGGAACCCTGAGGAATAATATTTTGTTAATTATTTAGGCCCCGATATTAAAGGAAAAGACTTCAGGATTTTAGTCGACACATCGTGAACCGCAGCACACAAACCTCTGAGTTGTAGTGACCAGAAGCCGGTAGGCGCCCCCCCCCGCACTTTGCTTCGCTCCTCCCCCTCTCCTCGCCATGATCAGCATCATCATCATCATCGTCATCGTCATCATCATGAGCTTCTTACCACGCGGCGAAGAGAGTCCCTCGTCCAGCGAGTGCCGTGCAGTCCTCTTATGGGACCGGCCAATCAAAATGGCAGGCTCGAAAGCCACATGTGTGGCACCAGCTAACTAAGCAAAAGATGCGCCGCGGCGCCGTTAAACAAATTAGTGATTGACTGCGTCAGCAGAGATCACGAAAGCTGTCAGTCATCAAGTGTCTCTAAGGAAAGCATGACGATTCTGGCAGACTGGAGGTGACACTTGTTGTGTTCCTCCTTCCTAGCAATCCGATCTTCCATCACTTGAACGCGATCCGAAAATCTGGAGTGAGCTTGCTGCAATTGTTCCATCCCCATTGCGAGCCCTTGTATCTGCATCTGCAGCAGACTGAGTCGACCAATCGATGTCCTCCTCGCGAAGAGTTCGCGACTCTTGTGCCCTGCGCAGATCCATGGCGCAGCCGGGCTTCCGGCAAGCCTGCGTGAGCACTAAAGGCGCTGCAACGTGCAAGGGCAAGAATGCACATGTTGGTGCTGGCGAAATCGAGCTGGGCATCATCTAACTGGCAAGGGGTCTTGTCATCATCCAAGAGCCAGAGCTGATTGCTTCGTACCTGTATAACAGCCGTGTAGTGGCCTGCAGTCGGCATCGAGCCATGATGCTGTATAAACCCTACGACCCTGTATTGTTCCCATCGGACTATAAGGTTATCAGCCGTAGCAAAAACCGGGATGTCAAGGGTGTCGGGCAGTATGTAGGCTTGTTGGAGCTTAATGGGCCAACCTGGGGCATGATAATGAAATCTCGGAAGTTGCAAAAACAGCCAGGGCGGCGCACTAGTATATGCTTGGAGGCCGGCTTGCACATGCCAGGCTGAAATCAGAGCCTGCACATCAGGCGTGTGCCTGTCCGGGTCATTGACCAGGATTAGGCACTTGGTGGCCGGGGCCAGCTCAGCAACTTGCATGCTCTCTGCGGTCAGGCTGCGTGCCTCATACTGAGCTGTGTTAACAGTCGAGACAATGCGACCATGCAGAAATCGATGAGCTCTGCAACATCGTGTTGTTGCTGAGGTGCAGGCCAACCCAGAAGCTTGAACCCCATCAGGCGAGAGGCCCAAAGCGGCTTCCCTGATTGTTCCCAAAAGACCTGAGGCAGTAGGCGTTGCTGTCGGCAAACCGCCAAAGTGGCAGTAAGAAGGTACAAGAAGGAATTACGGTAGCAACTATTGAATCCACCCTGAAGACGAACCTGGGGGAGGGTTAAGGTAGGTGCTATGTCGGCATGGTTGATTTCCGTGGCTGCCGAAGGCGCGGAGTGGGCTGTAGCCGATCCGGATGAGCCTACCGCTGAAAGGGGCGTTGGCTCGAGTGACTGGGGTAGACCTGCTCTGCAAGCTTCTTCGCCAAGGGGGAGCGTGGCATTGTGTCCCTCTTCATCGAGACTCCGATGAGGTTCATCAGAGCGCTGCCTGTGAACCGATCCAGGGCGTCGTAAACTTCTTGCGCCTGGGAACCGCAAAGAGATTTCCAGGTGGAAGGTGGCGACCTGGGCTCCCTGCTGTTCGAGGAAGTTGAGGGTCTTGGATGCCGCGAAGCGCTGCACTATGTCGCCGCACATGCACTTCAAGAGGAAGTTGAGAAGACGCATCGCCTCCGCATGCTGCAGGGGCGTTCGCTTCTTGTCCGTCTCCAGTCGACGCTCCGCTGTGTTCCAGCACCGGTAATTCCAGTTCCCCTCCGAGTTGAGCCACTCCAGGGTCACATGTTTGCTGCGAGTTTCCTCCGTGGCAACCGCCTGCTGAGCCAGATTCATGAGCTCTCTGAGCATGCAGGCAATGAGAACCGTGCGGAGTGGCGACTTGAGCTGATCCGGTTCCAGGGATTTCTTGGCCTTCCAATCTCGAGAGATTTCCATGAGCGTGCCCAGCGTGCCGTTGGCATCGTTGCGCATGAACAACATTAAGTTCTTGTCGTTGCGCAGGCGGCTGATGATGTCTTCTTGCTGCAGCACGACACGGCCTAGCAGGTTGATGTGGTTCTGGAGATGGTGCATCGGCCGGGGTGGCGGCGGTCCTTCTCGGTGAGGCGGCTGGTTGAGGCGCTGAGATGACGGCATGTTCCAGCGGTGTTGCTCCGGTCGCTGGCGCTTCTGAGAGCGACCTCCAGATAAGGCTCCTGCCCGGTCCACAAGCCGGCGAAGATCTCCGCCTCCTCGTGGACAAAGGCGTCCATCGGATCCCCGTACATCCTGACAATGGAGCACAGCCAGAATGAGCTGCACAAGTGGCGTGCACTGCTGTGTGTGGCGTTTTGGGGCGCCGACACGATGGCCGCACCAAATGCACGAGCTGTCTCGCCGTAGGTGGCTTTTGAAAGAGGTGCAGAGGTCTAGGGCACGGGGAAGAAGGGTAGGGTGAGTAGGGCCATGTATGCGGTTGTAGTGCTGTTTCATGTGTCGGTAGTCAGCAACCCACATGTGACAGATCGAACCGTGGTTCTTGAGCTCCTGATGCAGTTCAGGTACCGACAGCCACTTCTCCCAATTCCCCAAGCTGGGAACAAAGGCTTGACGCTTAATCAAAGGCAGATGCATGACGTTTTCTTCCGCAAAAACTGCGAGTGTCGCGGTCGGTGGGACCTGGATCGGTGCATTCACGTGTGCCTCCGAGAGCGGCGCGCGAGTCAAGCTGTCGCCTCCCAGGGCCGCACAAGCACCGGTTTCTATGTGAAGCTTAAGGTGTGTCCACCTGAAGAACTGGCGATTGCATAGGCGGCAAGCTGGCATGCCTGCTTGCGAGTGAAGCTCGGGCACAAATTCAGTAGGTCGATGGTTTAGCCTAGGGGGGAGCTGGCTATGCTTGAGCTTACAGTGAATGCGGACAGCATTTTCGGAGATGAATTGCTCAGAGCAGTGTGGACAGCTAACTGCTGGCACAACCACCGCCTCTGTGGCGAGAGTTTGGGCGGCTTCAAGCAGCAAGACCTCCAGACGACCAGCCAGAAGGTCAAGGCCTTTTGTTGCAAACCCGAGTGGTGCCTTGCCAGTGCATGCTGGATGGTCCAGCCTGGCTGCGGTAACCCAGCTTGCTGCCACACAGCCTGATTGGTGACGTGCGTCAAGTGGGCCGGCACCCTGAGGATGGCACGCAGATGCTTGGTGAGCACCGTTGTCAGTCTCTTAAGGGTTTTGGCAGTGACCCCAACTACATGTTGAGAGTACATGACGCTGGTGCAGACGCAGGCCTTCCAAAGGCGTATGCGGTGCCCTTTCTCAAGGGTGTGAGCTCCATTCAGCAGCTTGCGGAGGCCCTGGTAGTTGGCACGGGCTGCTTTGGTGCGATGCTCCATGTTGCGCTCTAACTTATTGTGATAGGTTACGACCGTGCCTAGGTAGACGTGTTGGTCCCGGATAGGGATAGCTCGCTCACGACCATGCACGCATAGCTTTAGATGAAGTTGCCCTGCCTTCATAAAGGTGTGATCTCGTCGAAGTTGCTTGGACTCCTTGCCAACGAGGTGAAGGAGGATTGCTGTCTTCTCAAAGTTGACGACCATGTGAAGAGATTCGAGGGTCTCAAGGATAAGCGTGATATCCGATAGAGCCTGCTTGAAGTCCGTTTTAGGTGGTTATAACCCAAGCTCCCCAGACGTCGTCAGCGAAGAGTGATAGCACTTTCTGAATCCATTCAAGATCCCTCTGATCACGCAGAAGCAGAAGAAAGGCAAGGGAAAAGAAGTTCCAAAGGTAAGGCGCTATCACACAACCCTGCTTAATACCATTGGTGGTAAGGGTGGAGCCCTGATGGTCACCAACGCGGTAGATATACCTAGCGTGATAATGCAGCTGCTGAACGATCGTGATGATGGATGATGCAACCCCCTGCTGCTGCATTTCCCGGTAAATGTGGGATCGTGTGACTCCATCGAAGGCCTTGGACAGGTCCAAGGAGAGGCTGACGCCTCCGGTGCAGCCGCGCTGCTTGTGACCAGCCTGCTGTTGAAAGCGAGTGACGCGGGTGCTGCTGATGAGCGGCCCACCTCAAAGTGACTGTGGGCTTTGGCTATGGCATCAGCAGTGCCTCTGCTACTGGTGTAGGCGAATTGGGGCATGCAAGATAGCCAAGGAGCAAGCGCTTGAAGCAGTTGTGTACGGAGACTGCCAGCCAGGGCCTTACTAGCCGGGCTTGACAGTCCTATGGGCCTCAAGGAGGAGATCCCTTGCGGGGGCTTATTGGGCTTGGGTATCCAAACCACGCTGCAGTCCTTCCAGTCTGTGTCCAAGGAGGCGGTGGTGCCCCGACGAAGGTGTGCAGCCAGAGTTCGGCTCAAGACCTCACCCAGGTCTGATGAACAAAGCTTCCAGACTGCTGATGGAGCAATGTGCTTGGGAACTGCCTTGGCAACCCCGAGCTTTGACAGCTCTGCAGCCAGGTCGGCGGCTGGAATGGTGACATCCTGAGTTAGGGGAAGTATCGGGCGATCATCGAAGTGCCGAGCAAAGGTGGCATTACCGTACTTAACTATTGCCTCGAGCTCCTCGTCACGGGTGAGGAGACGACCGGAGTCGTCACGAAGTCTGCCTGCCAGTTGCATGGCGGGTACGCGGGGACAGCCTACGAACGATGAGGTGCAAACCTCGTTGATCACCCCGGTGTGCTGCCTGCTCGGCGGCCTCCACCTGATCCAGGAAGAACTGCTTCTTAAGCTGTCGACTGCTGTGGCGGAGCGCCCTTGAGGCTCTGGCAAACTGGGTAGCCAGTCGCCACTTGGTGAAGATGTTGCGAAAGGTGCACACACCTGAGTGTTTGAGGTCACGGTAGAGACCCCAAACAGCACGAGCAGTGATGCGAAAGGCAGGCTGAGCGCTGATGCGATTGTCCGGTGCAGCTTTGGCCGGAAACAGCAGGCAGGTCTCCTCTAAAAGGATTCGGTTGACATGCTGGCGCGCAGAAGAAAGCACTGACGTGTCAACGTCCTGCAGCCGATGGCTGATGCGGTGCTGCAGCTCCTGAGCCAACGGGGCCCGGGAGCGGACTGCAGTGCAAAGAGCTTGTGCATCAAAGGCAGGTGACTGCTTGGGGCGAGTATTTCGGCGGGAGAAGGGGCGTAGCGGGTAGTGAACTCTTACCGGGTAATGGCCACTAAGCCTATCACCTCCTACCGGGAAGGTGTGGTCGGGACAGGCAGTGCGGGCAAGGCGTCCCGTGTCGGCGCAGCACGCAAGCACATAGTCGATTTGTGTCTGTCCTGTGGACGAATGATAGGTGCAGTGTGGCTTGCAGTGCCATGTGTTAAGAGCACAGAGTGAGTGTTTGTACAGGAGGGCCTGCAGGCCATCTTCCGTGTGCGACGAGCTTTTGGGAATGGCGCTGCCCACAAGAGGTGGCTCACAAGTCAACGTAGAATTGAAGTCACCGCAGATCAGCAGTGCGTGCCGACTGGGCACTCTTTGCAGGGCTGTTTCAAGCTGGGCCCATACGGTTTGGCGGAGCTCTCTGTTGCGAGAAGATGTCAAGTGTGTGCGCCAGACGTGTTGGTAGATACCAACTATGCTGATAGGCAGCTGGGTTTCTCGGTGAGTGGCCTGAACCAAAGCAAGCCGACCCGGATTGATGTCTAAGAAGCGGGGTCCTGAAAGGTCTTGCGCTTCAAGAGGAATAAGATGCCCGTGTTCCTGCCGAAGCCGTCCGGGTCATTGCGGCCCGACGTGTGTAATGCTAGCCACGGGCCGGCGTAGTAGTTAGGAGTTTCATGCCAGTGTGATTCCTGGATTACCACTACATCGAGGTCAGCACATGTTTCGCTCCAGGCAAGGAATTCTTGATACACCGAACTAGTTAATCCCTCGCATTCCACGAAAGAAGCCGCAGGTGCCTGTCGGAAGTCGAGCGATGCATCACTCGCTTTGCAACTGACCTGGGAATGTCGGGGAGGGGCTTCGGAAGTTGTCCGAGCGTAGCAGTGGAGTGCCATATTTACCCTTGTACCAAGTGCCTTGGAGAGGTGATGCATATGCACGATTGCGGGCTCGACGAAAGGATCGCTTAGTGGATCTTGGGAGATTTATGTTAGGGAACTGGGTAGCTGGCGCCCGGGGCGGCACTGAGTCGCGAAGCTTCCCCGCCACCGCAGCGACGGGTTCTCCTCCTGCCGCGAAACCAGGAGGAACCCTCACCCCACCTGCCTGATGAAAAAGACTGTACACGATAAGTGCTGTAAGGCAGGCACCGGACTTGGGACCGGAGTGGCACACAGTGAGCTGCTTAAGAGCGGCGGTCGGGTTGACTACTGGGGGTGGTGGCAACCTATGCTCTTTGCTGTTTCGCAAGATGGAGGTGGTTCGAGCTCCTGCATCTGATGGCTCGGCGGAACCACTCTGCACTTGGTTGGGAATCCTGCGAGGTGGCTTGGCTTGAGGTTGGGGTCTACGCTTAGGGTGGGACTTAGGGCCGAAGGGATGCAGAGATCTGAGATGCTGTGTTTGTTTAGCACGGTGACTCCTGTGACGAGTCAGCAGCAGCGGTCCCAGGCAGCGAAGCAGGAAGTCAATCGCCGTCTTCGGGGTGGCAGTCATCGGCACGATCACCTCGTCGAGGGCGGCGCGGGTGAGTGTGAGCAAATTCCCAATCTGTCCACTGCTGCAGGCGCTCGCCGGTGAGAGAGGTGCGGGCCGTTCGCTGTACCCTCCACCAGTCTTGGTTGGCCAGCCGGCGTCGCATGGCTCCCACCCTGCCACCTTGGGAGCGACTGGTAATACCTGGTACCACGGCGGCGAGCTCCATGCGGTATTGTCCAAGGAAGTAGCCGAGGGCCTCCTTAAGCGCTGGGCCTGCCAGGCACACACTGTTTGCACTCCACGTCGAGGAGTTTCGAGAGGTGTCGCTGTCCGAGGCGTCAGCTTCATCTGACTCGCTGGTGGTTTCAGCGAAACGTCCGTTGGGCAGGTGGGGCCCTGCAATCCTGACATGGTTTTGCCTTCCCCGGTCGTCAGTGTCGAGGATCGTGGGCCAGCGTGGCTCCGGCTCGTCGTCATCGTCGTCGTCTTCGTCAGCATCTGGCGGAGGCTGTGGGTCGTCATGTGCTCGAGCATTGCTGGAGGGCACCCCAACGATGGGCACCGGCGGAGGGGGACCTTTAGGCAAAAGGTCAGCAGCATCAAGAGGACCGCGACCGTGGTCATGAGGTGTGCACTCAGCTTGGAACTCCATGGCATCGTCATCCATAGATTTCATCAAAGAACACCCAACCAAAAGAAAGAGCCCCGAAAAGCGAAGATCCCGGGCACTCACCTGTGAGCCAGGGGCTTCATCATCATGAGCACCACCATCATCATCATCATCACAACCATCATCATCATCATCATCATCGTTTTTATGTTCAGTAAGCATGCACCATCATAGATTATCCTATAGAGCTTCAGGTCTGTTAGCCCTGGCATTTCAAGAATCGAGCCCGAAACAACCACGGCTGGCAAACGAGCGTTCGGGATCCTGGGTCTGAACTCTTACAGTTCAGGGTCTAATGTAGGGGCCTTAATAATTAGAATAGGGTCCTGGGGCATATCATACTATAAGTACAATAAGGAAAAACCCGGAATAATATAGGTAATTATTTAGGCCCCTGTATTAGGGTTTTAGGGTTTAGGGTTTACAGTAGCGGCTTAGCGTTGTGGGTTTAGGGTTTCGTCTTCGTGTTCTTCGGCTTCATGGCCCTTTCTGACTATTGCCTTTAACCCTATCGCAAGTACTGTTTCAGGGTTCCTCATTACGATTTGTTCGGACAGCTCTTTACACAAAGTCGGTTCTGTTCTGTTCTATTCTGGGGGGTTAAGGTAGGCTTTAGTGTTTGGGGCTTGCCTCTTGAGTTCTTTCGGCTTTAATAAATATTGTGCAAGTCTTGAAGAATGCCCCTACGCCCTCCACTCTATGACGCCTGGAACCTTCACTAGACCAACTCCCAACTCCAAAACCCGAAACTCCCAAACTCCTGACAGCGAAGTTCTTCCCGACCGAGGATGCAGCTGCATGCTTTGTCCAAGTATAGGGGCAGATGCGAAGGGACCTGTCTTGCAGGAGACCTTTTTGGCCTTAAACCCTAAACCCCTAAACTTCAGGAGACTCCATATTCAGAAAAAGGTTGCGGTGTATATGTTATACCCAAGAGCCGAGGGCCCAGATATACGACTAAAACTTAGCTAGGCCCCGCAAAGCCATAAGAAGCCTGGTCTTTTGGGGACCATCTTCTCTAGGCCCTAAACCCTAAACCCTAAAACCCTAACAGCCTAAAACCCTAAACCCTAAAACCCTAAACCCTAAACCCCTATAGACCGCAAGCCTCAAAAACCGAAGCCCGGAACTCCAGGAGCCCAAACCCTGTAAAGCCTCACCACTACAAGACCTCTGAAGCCCGAATTCCGGGTTTAGGGTTTAGGGATTAGGGTTTAGGGTGTAGGGATTAGGGTTTAGGGTTTTAGGGTCTAGGGCCGTTTAGGGGTTTAGGGACTCCCCAAAAAATCCATGCAAGCGCTTGGTCCTAAACCTTCATTCGTTGACTTCCTTGGCCCGGGACCTGGCAGGATCCGGTTTTTGCATCGAGCTATTGGGTGCCAGGCCCCATGCAACAAAAACACAACACACATAAGATACACAACATCTCGAAAAACTAGACCCTCCGCTTGAACGCCCTCCTACCTTATACAAACCCTCAGAAGCCCAACACCGCAAACCCCTGACCCCTGAACCCGTGAAGAACCACAGCACACTTTCAATGCCGAAAGGGGAATCCTAAACCCCCAAAACCTTAGAAGCTCTGAACACCTGCCGCGTGAACCCCGGACCCCGGAAGCCTCCAAACTGTAGATGCCCAGGGTCCCCGACCCCCTAAATGGGTAGTTCTCAAAACTCCCTTTTAGGGTCATGTTTTATAAGGGTGCTGTACTATTTTGTGGACTCAAAGAGGGACGCTAATTTAGAGAACCACCCAAATCCTAGGGAACTGAATGATTACCAACCTTGTTCTTTGGGGTGCCTTATTGTTGTAGGTAGAGCAAAACATGCTCGAAGACCCTAGTCTAATTATTGAGGCCCCAATGTTGGATCCTAGAAGCCCTGAAACCTAAACCCCACCCCTAAACACCCACAACCCCGACAGCTGATCCCCTAAATCCCTAAAAACAGCACCCCCGCGCGGCCCTACGCCGAGCCTGAGCAAAGCTCGGCCCTCATCTCAGCCGCGGCCCAAGCGGAAGTGGGCTCTTCCTGGCGGGTTTAGGGTTGAAGGCGGATGTAGGCACGGCTTGGGTTTTGGATTCTTTTTTGGTCCGGGGTTTAGGGATTCTGGTTGAAGGGTCTAAGCCTAAGCTAGAGTCTGGGCTCTTCTTTGATCTAGGGATTGGGGATTTTGGTTTAAGGGTTTATGGGCCGGGGTTTTGGGACTAAAGCCTTACATAGCGTGGCTTGGAGTGTATTGCTCGGGGTTTCGAGATTTGGGGTTCAGGGGTTGGGCGTTTTTTGCGATCAAGGCCTCGAGAGGTGGGGACTTGAAGCGCTGCAAGACCCTGAACCTGTTGGGAAACTTTTCGACTGAGGGTCTCAACACGGAGTTTTGAGGGGGTTTCAGGGTTGAGGGCGTCGGGTTGATAGTTTGGGAGTTGGCCCTGGAGGCTTAAATGCGTTTCCCGCCTTTAAGCCTCATAAAGCCTTAGGTCTGGTAGGGCCCCGGGCTGCTTCAGGGGACTTGGGGGGCCCAGAAAAACCAGGTTGCTGGATATGCGATGCAACCTACCTATAGTCTCCATTGTAATTCCTTTTGGGGGATACCTTATAGAATCCTTAATATATACATGGTTAAACCAAAACAAAGGAACTACGAGTACAATGGAGACTATAGGTAATTATACCATCAGAAGTGCTTCGATCGGATGGGAGGCAGCTTTGCGTCTACTATTACTCACTCATGAACCCCGAGCCTTGAACTCTGCTGTCAAATTAGGTTGCCTATGCAAGCAAGCAACCCTGAACCCCAATTCATCCCTAAACCCTTGGTTGTGCTTTTCGCTTATAGGCCCTTCTTAGAGGCTCAGGGGACGTTGTAGCCATGAACTAGGGTAACTGGGGATATCGTGAATAAAACTACATACAAAAATAGCTTACTTACTGTCCACCCTCCGTAGTATCGCTCTGAACCCGAAACCCTAAACCCGAAAACCTGAACCCTAAACCCTGAACCCTAAACCCTAAACCGTAAACCCTGAACCCTAAACGCTAAGCCCTGAACCCTGAACCCTAAACCCTAAACCGAAAGAGCGGTGCCTTCGGTGAAGGCTCCAGTCCCGCACGATCTTGGCATCAGGTCAATCCAGAGGCTTCAGGTCACAGGCTGACTCTTAGTATCTTAGACTATTTTAGGGGCCTTAATGATTAGAATAGGTTTGGGGGGAGACTAATATAGGGGCCCTTAATAGTTAGAATAGTTTTTTTTTTTTTGGGGGG